CTTGGCATGAACAGAAATGGAGAGGCAGAACTCCAGTGTCTGGGGTCTCAATACACACACACACGCACACACACGTCTCAATACATACACACACACACCTCTCAATACATACACACACACACACACACACACACACACACACACACACACACACACACCCTGTAGCCTCCACTAAGGGAGTCTTGTGTCTGTCCTATGGGCAGGAAGACCAAGTGCTGGGCCACTTCATCCCTCCCAAGGCCCTGTGGCCACCCCCTATTGACTCTTTCAGCTATTTGGTACCCACACCTAAAGACCCCATATGCCCCTCAAACTCTAGATGTTGGACACCAAACTTTTTTCTTCACCCTTGACTCTTGTCTCTACTTCAGGGGCTCACTACTCTGAGTGTCTCCAGCAATGAGTCATCCAGCCCCGACATAACTAAGATTCAGGGGTGAGTCCTCCTCCTGGCTTACACCTCACATTGGATCAATAGTGGAGAGTCTGGCTCCTGGCAGTTCTTGAAGCCAACCTCTTCTCTCCCTGTCCCCGCTTCCACTGATCACTTTTTGGTGCTGCCGTTTCTCACGGCTCCTCCTCGGAGGGGTGCAGCCTTCCCCCCAACAATCTATCCAATCCAAATGCACATGTACCAGCCATACTGTCAGCGGCCCCCTCACTCTGAAACCCCGGCCCCTTACCCTGACAGTGCTCCCAGGTCCTCCATGATCTGACCTCTGACTCATGTCCAACATCAGAGCCTGTCGCTCTCCACCTGTTCCCCCACAAAGACCCGTCACCACTTCCTGCGGCAGGTCACAGTGCTGCCCCTCACCTCTGCCCCCAGGACTCGCCTTCTCTCACAAGCATCTCCAGAACCCACACTCTGCCATCTGATGACCCTTCAGTGTGGCCCCTTGCTCTGGGGAGGGCGTCTCCCATAACCTGTGACACTTCAGAAGATTTATAAGGAGAATTGCTCCGGCCACTCAATCCCTCTGAGGTGTTTTACTCTTCTGTGAAATGGGAAACAGCCACTCCAAAGGATCTGATCATGAGAATGAACACCTAGTTAGGAAGCAGTGAGCCAAGAGGTTTTTGCACATTATCTGATTTAATCCTCACAGCACCCAGAGCGGCAGACACTGCCATGAGCCCCTGAAATTGAGGTGAAGCTCCCTGCCTCGCTCGCCTTTCCATGGGCAGACCTCCCTGACCCCTGGGGCCATATCAGTGCATCCCCCTTACCTGTGTCATCAGCTCTGCAGCCCCACCACCCTGCGAATGTTGAGAGGGCAAAAATGATGCCTCTTTTACACACTAGTGTATCCCAAGCTCCTAGAATTGAGTTTGGCACAGAGTAAGTACGTAGTAAATATTTACTGACTGAAGTAACCCATGAATGAATAGACCCAGCCAGTGACAGAACCAATATCATAGCTCTTAGCTTTTTCTTGCCTGCTGAGCAGGATCCTGTGAAGAACTGCTTAGTACCAGACCTGGCACACAGTAGGCACTCAATGGTGTGTAGCTGCAGCTGTTGTTATGACGAAAGAGGAGGAAGAGAAGGAGAAGGAGGGAAAAAAAAAATTGTAAAATAAGTACCACCTAGTGAGTCTGTTTCCCCAATAGTCAGAGCTCTCCCACTTCATTCAGGCCCAGGTCCTCCCAGTGCCCAGACCAGATTGGGTCCAGCAGGCAGGGGAGTTAGGGAATAAACATGGACAGTAGATGCCCCATCTCATCTCTCACTCCCAGCTGAAAAGAGTTGGTGTTCCTGCCCCTGTCCTCACCATCAGGGGTGTAGGCACTGCCTGCAACCTCCACAGGGGAACCAGTTCAGGCCCCAGTCCCCTAAACCCCCTTCCCCCAGTTAGCTCCCCAACAAGAGGCACCTACTCACCACTCACCCAGCTTACAGAGACACACACACACACACACACACACACACACACACACACTACACACTGCTACTTAGCAATCTGGCTTGAGCGTCCTGGGTTCTGATTCTGGCTCCTCGGAGCATGAATGTGTGGTCCTGGGATGGTCCCCGGCATTCTGAGCCTCACTACTCCTGACAGCGCTGTGGGCAGGGAGGTCAGGGCTCGTGTGGATGAAGGACTTTGCCAGGCGTCAAGGCTGTGACTGACTGACATGGGTTTCCATCCCAGGGCCTCCGCCACAGAGATGCGCTGGACGGGGAAGAGAGGAACCTGAAAACCCCACTGCTCTACCCCCTGGGCTTCCCTGGAACCATTCTGACCTCCATCCCAGACGCTCACAGTCAGAGACCACAGCTTCTCTGGGCTCTGGGGGCTGCCTGGGGAGGGGATTGGTCGGGGGTTTCTGCAGAGACCCCATTTGGGGCCAGAAGAAAGCTTTTCTCCAGAGGAGAAATGTTCCTCTCACTGCAACAGTGCAGAGAAGGGACCCAGAATACCGGAATGGTAGGACAAGTCCCCAAACCACTCTGGACCTCAGTTTTCCTCCGTGATGTGGAGCCGATAATAAACAGCTCATAGGTTATGTATAGATTTAACCGATAATAAACAGCTCATGTGTTATAGATTTAACAGATAATAAACAGCTCTCGGGATTCTATATAGATCTAACCGATAATAAACAGCTCGAGGGATTCTTTCCGGTTTGCTGTGAGAATGAACGAAAATTCGACATCTAAGAAGTTGCAGATGTTCTTGGGAGTGGGGCGCCTGGGCCCAGGGACGCCTTCCCGGCGTCTGGCTTGAATCTGGGGCCCCTGGAGCCGAATGGCAGGTCCCCCCTGAAATCCAGAACCCAGCCCCTTCCTGGGCTCACCGAGGGTGGGACGAGGGCTCGGGCGCGGCTGGTGAGGGAGGAGGGCGAGGGGCCGGAGCGCAGCGGTGAAGGCAGGAGTTCACACTCCCGGCCGCTCCCTGCTTTCTGCCGCAGCCTCCGCTTCTGAGTAACACTTCCCGGTTCCTTTCTTCAGACTTTCTCTCTTCCTCCCTCCCCCCCCCATCTTGTCCCCATCTTTCTTCTCTCACTCCTTCTCCCACCCCCCACCCCACTTCCATCTTGCCGTCACCCTCGCACTTTAAACAGCCAAACCCCTTTCCAATTAAAGTGGAATTAGGCAACTCAATCAAATTAGTTCCCCATTAAAGCCCTTCTTTATTAAACCGTTTTTCTTGTCCTGCTATTAAGTTTCACCGCCTGGCGGAACTCGAGCCGGCCCCAGAAGTTTACCTTGGGATGTCGCCGGCCGGGCCAGCCTTGGGGAGGGGGCGCCCTGGATGAGCAGCGGGAGGAGGGGTCGGCCCTAGAGCCGCTAATTTGCTCCGCTCCGCTTGAGGAGGGAAGTAAAAGGGGTGCAGAGTGGGGTCCTCACCGCGGGCGGGAGCAGCACCCCACCACCAAAATAACCGGAATACCAGTTATTCCAAAAACAGCAGTGGAAGATCGTCTTCCTTTGCAGCCCCCCCTGGGCAGCTGCCGCCTCGGCAGCCCCTGGTCCCCAATCTCTCTGAGAAGGGAGGCGTGCTGGGTGCAACCCGGCTGAGCCCAAATCTGCGCCCCGGGGGGGAACCAGAACCTGGTTGCCGGCCTCGCAGGACCCCGGAGAGAAGCTCGCTATCCGGGACCCCGAACACTGGCCAGGCGACCCCGCCAAGGCCGGCGCCGGAGCCGGGAGAGGGGACCAATCCAGAGGCGCAACCCGGGAGGCGCGCACCAGGCGCTGTTCCTCCCGGAGTCCTCAGCCACCGGCCCTCCCGGAGCCGCGGGAAGGTCCCTCCCGCACTCCCGAGGGTCAGGAACCAGCGCGGACTGCGGTCAGGCTTCTCCCTGGAACCAGGGCCCCAGCAGGAAATGAAGACCGTTCCAATCCCGCTGCCCTGCCCGATGAGCCGGACGGGATTCGATGTTGTTTTCTTAGAAAATAACATTTATTTCTAGCTCAGGTCTATGCAAAGGAAAGCACACAGTGAGCCGTTCTCTGCAGCAGCGTTTCCCCAGGCCGCCCTGGGCTGGGGGCTCGGCGGTCCCGGCGGGAGGGGAGGGTAGAGGGGCGGGAGGGCCTGCGGGAGGACAAGTCGGGCTCAGTCACCAGTCGCTGCTCCGGCTGCAGCGCTCACCTTGGCCGCACCTTAGGGAGAGACCGGCCCAGTCAGGTGAGCAGGTGAGCGAGATCCGTCCGGAGTTTACAATATATTTAGTTTATAAAACCTGATAAGTAACAATCGCGCAGAGTCTAATTTTTCCATGTTGTCCTTTTTTTTTGCTTGTTTTTTTTTTGTTCACGTTAATACCGAGGTCACCTACAGATTACAATTAATAACTTAGAGAATTCCATGTTTATAACATTATACACTGGCTTGTATATATATATGTATAGGTTATATATAGATTTATACATATATAAAAACTCACACTGCACCAAGGAAACCCATGCTGACCGGCATAAGCGACAAAGAGAGCGACAAATACCGCAATGAGGAGGAAAGTGCACTGCAGAACTTGTTTCCTTTTTTAAAAAAACACAATGATATCGATATATATGTGTGTGTCCCAAAGACTCGACTCAGTGCCAAGAGATTTATACATCCTAAATTTATATTTGTTAGAGCACATATTTAAAATTCTTTAGAGGGAGGGAGACACAGAAGACACTCTCGGACCATCCTGCCATTCATTCGAGCGCAGGGCGGGATGGGCGTAGCTTACAGGAGAGGCGGGAGAGTGCGCTACGGAGGCAGACTCGGAATTCGCAAGAATTGTCGCTTTTGCAAGGGCTGGGGACCCTTAAGGAGGAGACTGGAGGGATGAGGATCAGGGCCTCACACCTCCTCCCAGAACAACTGCGCCTGTAGCTGCTCCGCTTTGCTCAGTTCTTCCCTCCCCACCCTTCAAAACAAAACTGAGAACCAACCCCCTTGGAGAGAGAGGGGACCCCCTCCGGGACCCACAGCGCGCCCTGGAACAAGGCTGGGGTCCCTGTGTGGGGGCCGCCCAGCGCCCAGCGGCCAGGACTTCCCCCCCTACTGCTTCTCAGGGGCGCCGTTGACCATCGGCCCGTACAGGCCGCCGCTGTAGGACGGCTCCTTGTGCACGGCGGCCGCGGCGGCGGCGGAGCGGTCGCGCATGAGGTCGCTGAAGGCGTAGTCCATGGGCGGGCGGAAGCCGAGCGTGGGCACCAGGCCGGCGGTGGAATAAGGCGCCATGAAGGCCAGGCCGCGGCTGTGCGCCGCCGCCGCCGAGTAGGCCAGGCGCAGGGGGCTGAGGCCGAGCGGCGCGCCCAGCGGGTAGGCTGCACCTGCGTCGGCGGCGGCCGCGCCGAAGTGGCTGGCGTTGGGCTGCAAAGGCGAGAAGGCCGAGCGGCTGCTCAGCGAGCCCAGCGTCCCCGGAGCCATGGCGCCGGCCAGCAAAGGTCTGTGGTGCGGGGGTGCGGCGGGGCCCGCCTGCAGCGGCGCTGGCAGCCCGGGCCCCCCGGCGGCGGCGTCCACCCGGCTCAGCCACCCATCCTCCGCCGCCGCTGCTGCTGCTGCTGCTGCGCCCGCGGCGGCCTTATCCGAGGGCGCGGCGGGGCCCAGGCCGGCCGCCAGGCCCCCGCGGTGGTGGTTCAGCACCTGCTCGATGGCCTGCACCACGTCGCCGCCGCAGCCCTGCAGCACCAGCTCCAGGACGCCGCGCCGGTGGCCCGGGAAGACGCGCGTCAGAATGTCCAGCGGGGTCCGCTGCCTCGGGCCCGGGCCCCCGCCCAGCCCCGGGGCCGGAGGGGCCTCTGCCTCTTCTCGGTCAGCCTCCGAACCGGATTCAGAGCCCAGAGGGCTGGCGGAGCCTGGGCTGTCCTCCTCGCCGCCGCCTCCGGGGCCGGCGCTGCCTGGGCAGCTGCCACCTGCCTCCTTGGAGGCCCGGGTCAGGGGCGACCCCGAAAAGGACTCGCCGTCGCCGTTCTCGGAGCCCGAGCCTGGCCGCACCTCCGGGGATGAGGTCCCCGGACCCGAGTCCGCGCCGTCGTCGGGTGATAAGGGCTTCCCAGGCGGCGGGGGCGGGCTGCCCGGCCGGCCTGCCTGAAGCAGCGCCTTGGGGAACAGGTCAAACTTCTGTAACTTGGCCTCTGGGAGGGGAGAAATGGGGGTGCAAAGAACAGTTAGTAGTGGGGAGGCGACCACACCCACAGCGCCCCAGCCCTTGGCACCCCAGTTTCCTTTCCCAGGGAGCCCCGCGACCTTCACTCACTGGGCTCCGTGCGCCTTGCTCTTTGCTCCGCCATTCCTTCCTCTGGGTCCCTACAGCCCTGTCTCTCCTCCCCTGCTCCCAGGAGTCTTCCCCTTTCTGCACCCAGAACCCCAACCACCTGCACCCTGTAAACTCATTAGTCAGTATCCTTCTTCCCATACCTGTGCCCTAACCCCTCCACCGCTATCCCCCTTCCTAGCTCTGCCCTGCCCTGGAAGAGTGGCCTGGCCCTGGGTTCAAACAGGAGCCAACGTAACTTCCAGCGACACCGCACACCATATAGAAAAGGCCACTCCGCCTCTGTGCTTTCAGGAGCCAGCCCAGGCCGGGTGCCCTCTGGCCCTGGGCAGCACAGCCTGTGTAGGAAAGCGCCTGGGACATCTACAAGATCCCAAACTTCTCTACAGGCAATAATAATAATAATTAATAATAATGCCCTGTTTCTAAGCCACCCTTTCCGAAATTAAGACCTAAGAAGTTCCTGTCTCCCAAGCTGAGAGCTGAGAGGGCCCGCAGGGTCTCCTCCCTCCCGGAAAACAACCCTAGGAGTTTCTGAGAGGAGGCTGGGGCCAGGCCCGGAGCAGAGGGGCAAAGGGAAGGGCATCCAGGGAAGCGAGAGCGCGCACTTGAGAAGCCGGGACAAACGGGGAGAGGAGCAGGTTGAACAAGGAGCAATGGGAAAGGGATTACCGGCTCACAAGTGGAAAGAGAGCGAGTCGTCTCCGACACCTAGAGAGGGAGGGGCGGGGCGGGGTGGGGGCCTGACGGGGGTCGGGTTTCCGAAGGGAGCTGAGAAGTAGAGGGGCCACTGCTGCGGGTGGAGAAGCACAGAATCGGGGAGAAGGCGCGCAGGTTTCCGCGCTGGGGAGCAGGCCCCGCGAAGCGAGCGGGGATGCGGGAACCTGTCCGTTTAGAGGAAATAAGACCTTCACTATTGGGCCCGCGGCGAGAGAAAAGTAAAATGCAAATGCTTCTGCAGAAAGGGGAGAAAAGAGCGTGTATGTACTTAAGCCCCAAATCCATCGGGGCTGGGTGAGCGGTGAACTCTAGCCGAAGGCACATTTGGAGAAGGGGAGTCTACTCTTTGGTACCCAATCAAGTCCCCGGACCCCGTGACCGCTCCCCTCTCTCCCCGCCACCCCTCCCTCCGGCCAGGCCGCGCCCTCACCTGAGCTCCCGGCGCCCGCCGCGCCTCCGCCGGTCCCCGCGGGCGCCCCGGCCCCCGGGCCCCCGCCGTCGGCGGCGCACACCGAGCCGAAGACCTCGTAGGCGGGCCGCGGCGGGAGGATGCCGTTGGCCGCGGCCAGCGCCAGGCCCTCGGCCGTGCCGTAGAGCAGCTGCAGCTCGCGCGCCTCGTTCTCCTCCTGCGCCTGCTGCCTGCGCAGCGCCACCTGCGCCGCCATGACGCGCTGGCGCTCGGCGATGAGCGTGCACTTGGCGCACAGGCAGTCCTTCCAGCGGCAGTAGCGCTTGTGGCCCTTGAGCGCGGACACCACGCCGTGGTTGCGGCAGCGCGCGCACTTGGGCGTCCGCGGGTACTTCTCCGCCGCGCGCAGCAGCAGCGGGGGCGCCCGCAGCAGCCCGCCCGCCACGCTCACCGGCAGCGACGCCGCCGCCGCCGCCGCCGCCGCCACCGACGCCACGGACGCCACGGGCGGCCCCGTCGCCGTGGTCGCCGCCGTCGCGGCGCCGGGCACGCTGGGCAGCTCCGAGCGAAGCTCCATGTCAGGACCTGGCGTGGGAGACAGAGGGGAGCGGGGAGAGGCTTGGGGTGAGGAGGGCACACCGTGCGCGAAGCTAAAGCACAGCCTTGGAGAAACCCTGGCTGAGAAGGGGCAGATTCGGACTCTGAAGTTTGGCTCCTGGTTGTCACATTGTTGGGAGGAGGTGCCTTTGGAGCCCCCTTGTAAGGCAGAGCCTCCCCCACCCCCCACCACACACACACACACACACACACACACACACACACACACACTCTCGTTCTGAGCTCTTCTTATATCTGATGTGTGGGCTGGGTGTAAGATTTCGTCTGAAGCAGTGGTTCTGCTGGAAAAATAAAAACAAAGTTTGAAAGGTCATTGGTTCATGTGGATATAAGGAGAATTTGGTGGAAAAACACACACAACAGTATCCCCCAAAGTTTAGTTCTATTGGGGTAAGATGATAGAAATGTTTGTTTGGTGGGATTTGATTTAGAGGGAAGATTTTGACCCAACAGATTGATGCTAAGACAAAACAGAAACATCTGAGGTGACATGCGGGTTTTGTTGAAGAGAGAAGAGGAGAGAAAAGGAGAGTCCAGCTGGTTGGGCTGGGTTTTTTTGTTTTGTTTTGTTTTCCTTTTGCTTTGTCTTGCTGGTGGGAGAAGGAGAGTTCAGTGGGAAAATCGGGAATAGGAGGAATAGCTCTAGGAAGTGGGGTGAGGGTTAGGAGACCACGCAGGGACCAAGGTAGGCCCAGGGGCCCAGAGACCCTGCAGTGGTGGGAACTACCAACTCCGTGGTGCGGTCATTCATAGGGTGGGAGGGAAACATGGGTGTGGAGCGGAGTTTAGGAGACCTGGAGAGGAGGGTCAAAGAAGAGAGAATTCAGTTGAAGAAACTGGCTAGGCAAACCCAGCCCAAAGACCAGCTAGCTTGAGAGTCACCAAAAACAGCTGGCAGGCGTGTCTGGGTCCCCTGCTGCTGCTGCTGCGCCGCTCTCACTGCCCCGGGGCTTGGTAAGACCCACTCTCCCAGTGGCCCTGGCAGAGGGGCGGCTAGGGGAAAAAACCCTCAGCGTGGGCTGGGTGAGAGTGAGTGAAACCTGTGACACAATTATAGTCTGGGGGGTGGGTGATCAGGGAGGGGAAAGTATCCTGCAAAAGTTGGGTTCCCAGGGCGGAGGTCCTGACCACCCTACACTGCCTTCTACACCCCTCCCGGTTTAAGGCAACAAGTCAGACACGCCCCCCCTCCCCATCCTGGGGCCTCTCGGGACCCCGCTGGGGCGCAGATTGCTGCATTCCGGTCTCAGAGTTGGGTTCCTGGGATTTGGTTTCTCGGGCTGCACCAAGGCAGAGGAATGGTCTCTGGAACGGACTCAGAGAGAACACAGGAGTCCCACCTGCGCCACGGCCCCTGAAGGCCCAAGCGGGCCCAGCTCCTCCACGGCTTCCTCTGGGTCCCCCGGTCCCCTCCCGAGCCCGGGACCGAATACCGGTGTCGCCGTCCCACAATTCTAGACACCCCCCCCCCTCCCTTCCCTCTCCAACCCGCGCTGCCTCTACCTTCGGGCCCCTGGAGCAGCGCACGCCCGGAGGCCAGCACGGCCCGGGCCTCGTTCACGGGGGCGCAGACCCGGCCGCCTCCTCTGCCCTCCCCGCGGCCCCCAACTACTTGCCTCGGGCTCCGGGCACCTCCTCCTTCTCCACCTCCTCCGCCGGCGCCGCGCGCGCCTCCCAGCTCCGCTCGCGACGCGGGCGCCCTCGGCCTCTTCTCCTTGCCCCCGGGCTCCTTCTCTGACCACGTCACCCTCTTTCGGTCACCATGTCCCAACTTCCGGAGCCCTCTGGACGCTGCGGAATCGAACCCTTCCGTCGGGAATTGGAGCTTGGGGACCGGTTGGCAGGAACCCACGGCCCCGCTCTCCTCGCCGAGCCGCGCGTCCCCTCGCAGAGCGCCCGGCCGCCGCGCACAGCCGGGCCGCAGTCGCCGGGCGCCGCCAGGTCCTCAATGAGCCCCCGCCCGCTCTATTGTGGCTCCTCAGGGCTCCATTAGGCAGGATCGGACAACAATGTGGCGCCTGCCATTGGCCAGGGAGGCAGGCGGCGCTCTGATTGGCCGGGCCCGCGCCCGGGGAGCCCCGCGGTCTACAGTGTCCGAAAGATTCGAAACTCCGAAGGCTGCGCCGGGCGCCTCCGGGAGGGGAGGGAGGGAGGGGAGGGGAGGGCGCGCCGGGGAAGGGGTGGAAAAAAGTGGGCCAGAAGGAGCGGTGCAAATGTGACCAGTGGCTTCCGTGCGCTGGAGAGGGTGTGAATTGCGCCTAATTACCGGGTGCGGGGGCCGACCTGGGTCACCCCTCCGCTGCTGGGGTGCGGGCTCCGCCCGGCCGCTCCCGCTGGCCCGGGGCGCCTGGCAAGGCTGACTTTCCCAAGTGGCCCCGGCGGCCCCGGGCGAGGTGGGGGCAGGTGACAATTCAATTACCGCGGTCGGTCGGGGTGGGGGGTGGAAGCGGGGGTGGAGAAGGGCGGTGGGTACCGCGATGCCAAGGCTATTTCCCTCTGCAGCCTTCTTTCCGGCTGTGTCCGCGCCCCCAACCCGATGACCGTTGGGTAATCAGGAGCCTGTTTTCATGTTTCTGCTGCAAATTGTTTAAAGTGTTCTGATACGATAAGGCATCCCCAAGGTGAGTGTGGTTTAATAGGATTTTTGTTTTTAAAGTGGAGCCTGCGGAGAAGAGGAAATGGGGTTGCGCCTTTCCCGCCCCGCCCCTCCCTGACCCCATCCCTCTGCCCCTCTCGTGTGCTCTTTCCTTCCCTCGCTTTGCAGCATCTAGGTTTCTTTTCCATGGTGGTGGGGTTATTTTTGTAGTTGTTTTAAATGAATACATAGTTTAATTTTGTGGTTTTTTTTAACGCAAGTAAAAAGCGGTCTCCCTGTCTCCTCAGATCCTCTTGGAAAACAGACGCGCGCGCATCCGTGTCCGTCCTTCAGGCCCAGAGGCCAGGTCTCCGCAGCCCCCAGGAGTAGCTTTAACTTTCGCCTCACTCTCGCGTCCTTATGTCAGGGCCCTGAGTCCCAGCTCAGCCTGCAGAGGTAACAGGTTTCACATTTTGTTTCTCTTTTGTAAGGCAATATCTGGAATTAACGCTGCGCTCCTTGGGCGAGATCGCCTGGGGTTTCTCTCTCTGTGATTCTGTGTGTGTTGGGGGGGGGGGGGGAGAGACAAAACCCTTTTCCTTGTTCTAATGGTCTTCCACTCTCATGATTATTATCTACTTTTCTCTTTCGTTCAGAGTACTGAAAATTCACTCAATTAGCCAGACAAGAGCGTTTTCCCGTTGTCCTCTCTCCACTCCAGACAGTGCGTTTCCCGCTGTGCTTTCCAACTCACAAGGCCTTGCGGTTCTGGCTGAAGCGTGGACCTACTGGGCGTGCACACTGGGGCCCAAGCCTCCGGAGGCAGCCACTTCCATGCCCTACCTGCCCAGCCACCTCTGAGGGCTGGGGCTGGTGATCTCAGAGAAAGGCGCGAAAGACGCGAGGAGCTGGCCCCACTGAGACCCAGGAGCTGCTGGCGAGTTCCTCGTGAAGCCAAACCCCAGGACCACACTGGAGGGGAGAGGGGAGAGAAGGTAGTGTGCGTAAGAGTGGGGAAGAGAGCTTCCAGAAAGTTGAGCAGGCCTGCACATGGGTGCACTCTGACCCCTACAGATTCTAAGACGGGTAGAAAGCAGGCCATTGGCTCCTGTCAAATCCCACTCGCTGGAGCCTGAGAATGCCTGTAGGAGACAGAAAGGGGTCAGCTTCCCCATAGGGTCTCCCGCATGCAGTGAGGGTGAGGGCGAGGGTGTGCGTCTGGGATAATAATATGTTCTCTAGGAGCATAGGACCCTGGCCCCACCTGCCATCAGCTTTCCTTTCAGGTCAAGGGAATCTCTGCCTGAACTGCGTCCTGGAGTTGCCGGGTGGGGAGTGGATGGGAAGACCAAGCCAGAGCCTGAGCAGAGGTAGCCAGGCTCCTGCTTTCAGAGTTCCCTTGGGCTAAGATTTCCAGAAATCATTATTGTTTAAATTCTTAAAATATTTATTTTAGAGAGGAAGGGAGAGAGAGAGAAACATTGATATGAGAGAGATACACAGGTGCCCCAACCAAGGATCCAACCCCAACCTTAGTGTCGTGACTGGAATGGAACCTGCGACCTCCCAGGGCAAGGTCAGGGCTGCTGACTCCAACCAACAGAGTCACCCCAGCCAGGGTCAGAAATTATGTTAAGCCTCAAACGAGAGAAACGAAATGAACAAGAGAACCCAGCCTAGCTTTCAGAGGTCAGCAGCCCAGACACACCACCTCCTGGGACAGCCAAGCCCGGTGAGATCCCCCACTCCAGTTCAATGAGTCAACCTGCGGGAGCCCAGGGTCCAGCCGAGGATTCAGACTTGAACCTCAGGCTCTCTCACTGGTGTTAAGGAGCCTCATTTTCTTAGAGGGAAAGTGGGTGAGGACACATCCTGGAAACCAGCCCAACCTGAGGGAGTCTGCCCACCCTGGCAGCAGGTGCTTCTCCATCCTCTCTCCTCCTGTTCACTGACCAACAGGTCCGAGACCCACAACCTTTCTTTGGGTGCGCCCGAGGGTGGGGTGCTCAGGTGAGTGACTGTGTCTTAGAGAGAGATGGAGTGCTGTCCTGCATCGAGGTCACAGTGCCACTCTGGGGCCGGTGTCCGTTTGGACTCCAGGCGGGAAGAGGGGAGCAGACTGGAAGGTGTGGTCAGCACGCCCAGGCTGAGGCAGAAGGGGCTCCCCCCTCTACTTAGAGCAGAGCTTGGCGTCACATCTGGACGGACCACCTGCACCTGTGACCTCATTCTGCAAGGCCTTGCCGAACCCCCTCATACCTGCATGCCATTACCTGCCGCCCATGGGGAGCACTCACCTTGGAGGCTGCCCTCCCACCCGTGAGGACATTTGTGCAAGTCCCATGGAATTCCCAGCACGTTCATAGCGAGCCCACATTGTGGGA